AAATTAATTTATGGATAAAACCTTTTCCTGAACTTATTCTCCAAGAACGAACTGTGTTTTGTCGCGCCTGTCCTAAACCGGTAATTTTTACATCTGTGGACGTAGTATGCAGTTTTTCTATTTACAAATACATTTACTTTAGAATCACCGGGAAAACTTTTTGTTAGAATATTTCGAAAAATATCTAAAAATAAATTGTTACCAAAATAGTAATTAAATAGTGGATTACTACTATTTGTTAATTTGATCTGTTTATATATATTTTTTATCTTTAAAAACGTGATTTATGTGTTAGTGAAATGTAATTAAACACTTTGCAATGTGATTTATGTATTTTTGTAATAAAATGTAAGCTCGGGAAACCTGTTTTTAAATTTTATAAATAAATTTAGTTCGCTTACTAAGCTTTTTTTTTTAATTTTTGGAGCATATGCAACTGCATATCTCTGCATATATTAAGAAAGTTACTGCATATTTACATAAATTTGGTGCATATTATATGATCATATTTCTGAAAATTTTGCTGCATATTTTCCGCTCTCTATACCTGAGTAATGCAGAGGGTGGAAACTCCCTGATATTTGCCATACTAGGCCAGATGTCCCCTAGTATGGATTCCCTGTAGGAGGCTAGGGCTGGACACTCACGAAGAATGTGCTCAGCTGTTTCCTCTTCTTCATTGCATCCACGACAGATCGGGTGTCAGTGAGTGTTATATTAAAATATGAATTAATTCTCTAATAATTTTAATTCAACCTCCGTTACGTAACAGTCGTTTTTTTTGACTTGCTTAATTATTTATTTTTTTGGAAAACCGAAAACAAATCAGTCTCAATTGAATATTTTCTTCATAACGTACCATGTGTGTGTAAAAAATTGCTACTAAAGTTTCGACGTCGAGTTGAAGTATTTTGAACTTGTGCAATTTCACTGATTTATTTGTAGACGGTATTTACTAGTACGTCTTAACTAGTGCACACTTAACAATTTGTAAGATCTTGTAGCGCTGTAGAAGGCGCTTCAATTTTCCTTTATTTAAAAGAAACTTTTAGTTCCAAGGCTTCTGTTAGTAATGCTGGGTCATTTAGAAATGCAGGCAATGGCAATGACGTTAACATCGTCTTCTTAGTGTGAGATTTTGGTGATATATTTTATTACTTACAAAAAACACTTATTAATGAAAGAGCTGTAATGTTATTCGGGTTTTCCACTAGTCTTGTGACAGCGGTAGTATATCGCACGTAATCCGGATATATCCTTCGCCGGATTTGACGGCCGTTATAGATTAAGATATTAGAGCACAGGAATATGGATCGTTCAGTGGGTCGGTATAATAGCCTAAAAGGAACGGAAAAGACGAAGGACAAAGAAGAAAACAAATAAAGAGGGGGAAAGACTTATTGCATACCAATAGGAAAGGATAAACGGACCATCGAAAACTGCCGAGCTTTCGCTTATTTTGTTAAGGGATGTTTTTATGTATTTATACAATTTGTTTTACGGCACAAGTTCGTAAATAAAGTCGTCTTTAGACTCAGTTGGCATTTAAAAAGAGGCCACTATTCTCATTCCTTTTTGGGTATGTACAGTTGCGCAAAAATGTAAGTTTTACACTACGTTCAAGCCAGGAGTCCCATAGAATTATTAGATTAGGCTGTAATCATCTCTCGTTTGTGCTGAATATTAAGCTATAACATTTTTTTAGTTGAGTGACGACAAATGAGGTGCGCAGGAATTTGTATACAACGCCAAGCTATAAACTATTTCCGCAACAAAACGCTGGTTATTAAATGGGATTTTTATTACCTTATTTTGCGGAATTCCAAACCTTATTCTAAGAACCGTATGTGACCACAAGTGTGCGTATTCCCCTATAGAAATTTTTTTGTTAACAGTGAATACAGTTCCAGTAATTTAGTGTTACATTATCCTCAACTGGTGTTATTTTAAACGCAACTTTCCTTAAATTTTTTGGTAACGTGCTTTTACACTTTAAAAGTAATGTTTACGTTTAAAAATGTAAGAGTTAACATTTTTTTCCGAAAACAAATCCTATATACTTAATTAATTTTCCTGAACGGTGTTACGTCAAATTTGATTTAAAGCATAGTGCTGGAACAAAGTCAGTACTAACTTCGATTGTTCACTAAAGGTTTTTTCTTCTTAAGTTTTTACAATTTTTACTTCTAGAGCTAGAGTATAAAAAAGTAGGTACTCGTTTTCGTCTGTCTGTCGGTGAAACTACTGGGTAGATTGTTATGAAATTTTAGACATATTAGGAATATCGTGTAATCCTGTCAACAATTTCATGATGTTATCTCAAAATTTTGGAAAGCAAATATTATTAAAATTTTATAAAATAACGTATTTCGATACCTTAGAGACATCCCGTTTTTTGGAAAAAAATTATGGCAACCTTTTACAATTTAACTTAGAAACGCAAAACCAAATGTTGTGAAATCTAGCAAACGTTTTAAGATTAACTTATCAAAATATTCTCGTTTATTCCCTCCAAAAACTTGATGACGATATCTTAAATTTTTTATGGGTATATCCTATTGACAATGTGCGAAATATTATGAGTCTAAATTTTGGAGTTTATCAGTGCGTTATATTTTTACTTCCCGAGTGTAAGCTAAGGAAGTAATCGAGTAAGTAATCGAGCCCAACTTCGAATCGTCACTTTTATGTTTTCGTGACGTTTCATGACCCCTACACTACGAAAAAAGTAGTCTCCTGTTTCCGTTTGTCTATCTGGTCTGTCTGGCGTAATCTCCGAAACCGATTATTGTCAAATTGTCAAAAATGTTTTACAGTTACATACTGCTATAGTGTGGTCTACGAATCTGCTTTGAATTTTTCCCTAAACCTCTAAATGTTAAAAAAAAGACACAATATAGAAACAGTTTATTATTAGTGTAGGATATTCAGATCGTGGCTCAGTGCGGTTTCGTGTTGGATGCCAAGCCTGGCCGTTTGTTTTTTCTATTTTCTCTGGCGCTGTGTATTATCTATGTGTAAGTTTTTTATTGATAAAATTAAGAGCGAGACACCCCATTTTCTCGAAAAGCTGAAAATACGCATAATTAATAATTTTAGTTCTCTATTTTGAGGTGACATACTTATTCAAATCAATCAAATTTCCATTCTTCCGAAGTAGAAACACATGCTTGAAGTTAACTAAAGCTTGTTTTTATTGTTGAGGGGCCATTTTTTCCCGTTGGTTATCTGCTTCAATTAAATTTTAAGTTGTCCATACTTGTGCAATTTGCGCCCCCACGGCGCAGAGGCTGTGGGGGTGTTATTTATGCCGCTGGTTTTTGCATTATAGAGGTTATCACAAAACAAACATCGAATAATCTAATTTTATAATTTTTCAAAGAAGCGGGATTTATTGGACTTGTTTCTAAAATGGTTTTTACAGGGTAAACCAAAAAAAAAAAAAAATTAAATAAAAATGTATCAGTTTGTTTTAGAATGCAGTAAACCATAGCATGCTTCCTTCCTCGCCTGTAATTTAACAATCCATACTTGTAACTTGTAGAGCTTATAAAAAATAAAATTTGCAAAATTTATAATTTATCTATGAAACTGAATTTGTTTGATAATACAGTAGACAATAAAGTTAGTAATATGTACATAATTTTATTTTTAAAGTTGTTTTCGGAATGAATATGTGTGTTGGGTTGCATATTCATCTTCCAAAGGATTGATTTCGATTTTTAAAAACTGAATATAGGATCACATAAGATTCGTAATAATTGACGAGTGGGCCATGTCAATGATGATATTTACAGTAAAATTTTAGACGAAATTTTTTTTAAAAAGGTCAATAACGTAAATTTTCTGTTCTTTAAACTTGTACTTATTACAATAGCTTAACACGAAGACTATAGTGCCAAATGTCAATGGCAATATCTTTGACATATCCTAAATCTCGATTAGATTTTATGTTCAGTTTTTAAAAATCCATTACAAGCAGGTATGCAACCAAGTTAACATTAATTATCCTCTGTTCAGAGAAAAAAACCTCACGGTATGTATATATGTATAAGAAAGCTGCTGTGCAATATTGAATTGCGATAAGTGGATACTGAATAGTCCCAAGTAAGTCGGTAGTATTCTAAAAAAAAAAAAATATAATATTACTGGAGTATTACAGAGTTAAATACTTATAAAAGCAGAAAAACATTCAACATAATTTTCTTTAGGCTTTCTTATAAAAGAGTCAGTGTTAACTTATGTATTACTGGTGGTGAAATCTTAATGAAGTAAAAAGTGCTTTCAGAGAGAGGGAGTTTAATTTCTAGAACGTATTAGAAAAAGGCAATTACTTTTTTAAATGATGATGTCAAAATGGGAGATTACCGTAGGCTGGAAACCGACCGCTTCGCTGGTTGGGTAAACATCGAGAAAATCCTTTACCTTGAAAAAATATGTATTAATGGAAATCTCCAATTTAACTTTTCTCGCCACTCTTGGTACAGATTACAGCCTACGAGTACTTAATGATACTTAGCTGGAGTTTGATTAAAATTTTAAAATAAAACCAATACACCAAGTTTAAAACGAGTTCTCTTATCACAACAGGATTAATAATTTCAATATTGAACGATTTCAGAATTAAAATTCTGAAAGAATTTGGTTTTAAGATTAATCTCTACTCACTACTCCAACAGTTTCACCATTTATTAAATTTTAAGTTTATCTGCTCTTTTTAAGTAATTAGACGAATTTCAACGAATTGGGGGATATTTTTCCAGGTTTTAAAGAAAACACTCACACCATTAAATATTTTCTCTGCGTTGGTAGCGAAATTCTCATTTGCATTATAACGAAATTATTTTTAATGAATTTAAGGATTCAGTATCTGCTTAATCCACTTAATTGTTTGATTATTCACGTATAATTTGGTATGCTATGAAGTAAATCGAAGCAAGGAAGTTTATGAAAGAAAGTAATATTCCGCTAAGTGAATAGACTTCAAATCATGCTCTTACCGATAACGTTTAATCGGAATGGAAGCGACATTTTGGGTTCGGTGTTAACCTGACATTCATATACTCCGGAATCCCGGAGTTGAGGGAACTTAATCTGCAGCGTCCAATTGTCCGACTTGTCTGGTCGAATTACTTGGAACCTTTGGTCGGATGTGTATGTCAATATGCCTGCCGTCAGGATGTGCAGATCCCGCTTACGAATCCACGAAACCTGGAACAAAAATATCGACAGTATTATAATTTTCAATTTACACGCACTGATACCATCCAATTCCAGGGCTTTGCTTCATTTTTGTGTAAATTTAAAAAGCGCGATCAAAAAGAGGCTTATGCCTACTGCGTAGCAGTACACGAATGCAAAAAAATAAATGTGCTTAGGATAAATTGGACTGATGGGAACAACACCAATTAGGTCGCATTATTAAAACAACAGTAATGAATCCAATTTTAAAATCGATTCTTTCATTATATTTCACAAAGGAGCGATATTGTGAAACAGAATTGTGGAAGGATGTAATTTGTTCCACTCTTCCTAATTTTTGGTCGTTAAGTCGTCGGTAACACGCTGACAGATTTTCTAACGTTCTCTTCTAAGAAAAATGTCTTTTGAACTTTATGTAATTGAACGTTGCTGGTTTTGTTACCATAAATCTCCATTAATTATACGTATATCATTTTTTCATAAATATTTATTGCGTACTGTTATAAACACGTTACAAATATTGCCTACCTGACAATTTAAGTGAACTAATACATTATCAACTATTCGACAATCATAATTTGTATAAAAAAATAAAAATTCTGTGGAGATTACAAAATGTTTAAATACACCTGCTAATTTTTAGACAGAGCGACCAAATAAGTATTTTGTTATAATATTTTCAAATTTCTTGCTTATAACCCATGCAGCATCAATCAAACTAACAACTGCATTTTGTTCTGTGCTTAAATAGATATTTAAAAGTATATACTGTATAATAATAATGTTAAAGATAACATTAGTAGTGTATTAATGTAACACTTTACAATTATCTGTAAATATAATGTACAATGGAACAGTTGGAAATGTAATTATGGCGAATCACTGTTTGAATATAACAATTAATGAAGGCGAACAGAATATTGATTTAAAGCGTATAATGTCATCTGTATTTGTTTAGTTAAGTTTTATGTGAAATTTATAGTTTATTATATTAGTTAAGTAATATTTTATTTCGATTGAGATTTCATTGACTAAAGTAGAAAGCGACTGAAACTAATATATCAGTAATTTCCTAATGGTTTATACAGATTTATAACCCCACTAGAATAAAATGTATCTACCAGACTTACTCTGGAATGATCCGGGTAGAAAATTCAAATTAATTATGAAACATAAATTTTAAGTACTAAAGATACTTAAGATTACTTGTGTATTGTTCTAGTTTTTTTATTGTTTTAGTCAATGGGGCCAAGTTTTATCGAAATATCGACGTCAATTGCAAATTTTAAAAAAACAAATTTAGATAGTTATTACTGATTACCCACATTTTTTTTTAAATTTTATATATTGTATTTAATTTTAATACTAACAAATTAAAGTCAACATCTCGATTTACTCTGATACATGTACTAACAAAATAGGGAAGTACTTATACAGGGTGTTATTGAAAGGTGCGTACAACAAAATTGACAGTTTTTCGCGAAGTCTAAGAAGTCTGAAAAACTTATTTTGTGTTATCAAAATTATAAGAGGAAAATTAACCCTTATCCAACCTTTTTGGACGCTACTGAAGGATAAATAGGTAAAATTAATTTATTTTAGTATATCCTAGCAACTGTAACAATAAAACTGTTATCAAGACTAAATGTTGCTATAGAAACGGGAGATGATTTTTTATCAGAGGCGTACAACGAATTTTGACATAATTCATAATATTTTGCACATTTGAGATATTATTTAAAAAATTTAGCGTGATTATGATAATCTTAAAACGTTTGTAAAATTTCAGAGCATTCGAGGTTGCATCAGTTTCAAAGTATAAAATTGAAAAATTCTATACAATTTCCATTTTTTTCAAAGATCTGGATGTCTAGGGTAAAAAATTAAAACGCATTCATAAACCACAGGTTTAGAAGTGTGGTATGTAATAACATTTAAATAACATTTACAATGTAAACTTTTGAGGTGACATTATCACATTGTTAGTGGGGTGGATTAGACAAATTTTAGTTAGCGTATTATAATCTACATAATTTTCCTAAAATACGTCTAAAATTTCACAACAATCAGTTTTGTAATTTTGGAAATTGTTGCATTTCCGGAAGCGGCCACTGACCCTTTTGGGTATCTTTACCTGTTTTTGTAAATAGCTCTGTAATTTTAGTACTTCTGTAACCGTCCTACATTAAACATCAAAACCGAACGCTGTCCATTATTTCAATTATAACAAACAAAGGTCCTTCGAGCAATATCAGGGTACAATTCGGAAGACCATACATGGTCGTATCAACCGGATTACAAAAAACGTTGGTACTACGATTCGGGTTGTACGAAACATTGGCATTCAAGCCGGAACATTGATCTTCGAGCCGAAACATTGGTCCTCGAACCGAATCATTGGTCCTTCGAGCCGGATTGGATCAAATCGCGCAGAAATACATTTCGCTAATCGACATCATTATCATCAACTGGAAGCGACGGCAGCAGTGGGCAGTATTCCTACAAAAGGATCACCACCACGTTGCACCAAGTTGGAATCAACTTCAAATTTGGACAGCATCTTCGGCGGAGAGTCACCACCGCAATCAATCCCGCAGGACGGCAGGAGGAACACCATATCCAGAACCAGAGTCAAGGTTAGTGGACTCCATCATTTCACTTCCTATCCAATCCATAATTCGAGAATTCGATAAGTGTCGATTTCGATTTCGCGATCAATAATACTGCATTTCGTTATTCGCTAATATGCCTCCCAAAATGATAGAAAAGTTACAGCACAGTAAGAATCAACAAAAAATAATCATTAACCAGCTCAATAGGTACGATAATTTCTTAGATAATGTTAATTCTGAACATGATGTTGTAGAACTTAAATACAGACTAACACGCATTAAGCCTTTATTAGACGAGTTAGATAAATTCCAAATAATTATCGAGTCATTAGAAAGTTCCTCTACTGGCCAAACTGATGAAGAGAGCACTTCGTCAGAACCTCTTAGTGATCCCCGTGAACAATACGAATCTTTATATTATAGAGTAATCACACGCTCACAACATCTTATTTCCAAATTTCAACCCGATTCACAAAGATCGGTATCACCAAATCCTAATTTACAACCTACTAATAATATTCAAGTTAAATTACCAACATTAGAAATTCCAAATTTTGATGGTGAAATAACACAGTGGCCTAATTTTTATAATACGTTTGAATCACTTATTCACGAAAACAAAACATTAAGTGATGTCCAAAAATTACAATATTTAAAATCATGCCTTAAAAAAGAAGCTGGTAATATAATTTCCGATTTGTGTATCAACAATGAAAATTATAAAGTTGCTTTAGAATTATTAAAAGAACGGTATGAAAACAAAAATCTTTTAGTCAAAAATCACATGCGTGAATTGTTCAATTTACCTAATATTACAAAAGATTCTGCTAACGCACTCCGCATGTTTACAGATAAATTAAATTCAAATTTGAAAGCTCTTGAAGCATTGAAATTAGAAGTTCAAAGTTGGGACCCAATCTTAATTTATCTAGTAACAACTAAATTCGATTTTATTACAACTAGAGAATGGGAAAATTCATTAGTAGGAACTGAATTGCCAACAATGGCTCAAATGAAAGCATTTTTAACGAAAAGGTATCAATTATTGGAGTCATTAGAATCCAATAAGTTATTTAAAACACAACAATTTAATCCAAAACCAAGGCCCGTCAACCACAAATCTGTTCATATCGCAAACAAGTATCGATTAAGTTGTCCTCACTGTAAGGGTAATCATTTTATTTATCATTGTGAAGAATTTTTAAAATTAGCTGTCAAGCAACGCCAGTCACAGGTCAACAAATTAAAATTGTGCGTTAATTGCTTAAAATCACATTCTTTAAATTCTTGCCGATCTTCTTATACTTGCAAAATATGTAAAGAAAAACATAATTCGCTTCTGCATTTTGACAATCCAACTGAACCTACAGTAGACCTTCAAACTAGCACCACTTTAACAAATTTCGGTTCGCAAGTAAAGGATGTTAAAGTATTGTTATCAACTGTCCTTGTATACATAAAGGACAAGTATGATAATTATCATTTCTGTCGTGCCTTATTAGATGGAGGATCGGAATCACATTTTATTACAAAATCTTTAGCTGATAGACTTGAATTGGATAACTCACCGACTAAAGTGCAAATTTCTGGAATTAACCCTCAAAATTCATCTCCTACAATCATTAACAATAGTGTAAATGTTACAATCAAGTCCAGAGTTAGTTCATTTACTACACAGCTGAATTGCTTAATTTTAGAGCAGATCACAAGAAACACCCCGCCATTCAATTTTTCGCATAACATATTCAAAATTCCAAATAATATCCAGTTGGCTGATCCTGAATTTCATAAATCTAGACCTGTCGATTTGCTAATTAGCAACGAAGTTTTTTGGGAACTAATTTTAGCCGGTTCATTAAGTTTTGGTACAGATTTACCGTCCCTCCGAGAAACAAAACTGGGTTGGGTTTTCGGTGGTAAACTTAAAATTCCGGAAAGGATTAAACAGGTATCGTGCAATGTGGCAGTTAATTCATTAGAAACTCAGGTAGCTAAATTGTGGCAAATTGAGGAAATACCCATGAGTAAGCCTCTCTCCAAAGAGGAACAATTATGCGAAAATCATTTTTCGGCAAACTTCAAACGAGATGTTTCCGGTAGGTTTATAGTAAAACTACCCTTTAAAGACTGCCACCTGGAGCCAGGTAATTCTTTCAACGGAACTCTTTCAAAATTTTACTCATTAGAAAGGCGGTTGGTGAAAGCTCCTAAGCTTCATAATGATTACAGTAAATTTATGACCGAATACATTGAACTGGGACACATGGAGGTAGTAAATACCCCAAACCCTCTGGAAGAAAATCGCTTTTATCTTAGTCACCATCCAGTAATAAAGGAAACAAGTATTAGCACCAAGGTGCGAGTGGTTTTCAACGGTTCTGCAAGTTCATCCAATGG